TAGAAGAAGTGGCTGATTTTAGATACCTAGGAAGTCAGATAAGTGAGGATGGAAGGAGTAGTAGGGATATAAAGCAGAGGATAGCGCAGGGTCGTGTCGCCTTTAATAAAAAGAAGTCCCTTCTATGCTCGCGAACCGTTAATTTAGAAATTCGAAAAAGGCTGTTAAAGGTGTATGTTTGGAGCACGGCGTTGTACGGGTGCGAAACATGGACAGTGGGCGCGGCGGAAAAAAAAAGTTAGAAGCGTTCGAAATGTGGTGTTTTAGGCGAATGATGAGGATATCGTTGGTAGAAAAGGTTAGAAATGAAGTGGTATTGGAAAGAATAGGAGAAGTCAGGCATGAATGTCTAGTCAGAGACATATTAGAGGCAGAAACGGGAGTTAGGAGGGATAGAGGTAGACCTAGATTATATTACAGTTCGCAAATAGTTAAGGATGTGGGCTGTTCTAGTTTTAGGGAAATGCGAAGTTTAGGTCAGGATAGGAAAGAGTGGAGGTACGTGTCCAATTAGTCTTTGGACTGATGACCTTATGATGATGATGATGATGATGTCCACAGCTAACCAAAACGAACTCGTTGCTTTATTTCCTAGAATATACTGAGCAATAATTGTGTATTAGTCCATTTTCTGGTATTTTTACTTTATTTTCGCAAATGTGGACGTTTCGTTGTTAGTGTATACTGAAGTATAACCTTTTATATTTATATCTCAAAAAGATATCTAGCTCACATATTTTGATGTATACACCTCGTTTTATTAAGATTTATTATCAGAAGAATAACTGACGTAAGAGTTGTAAAGATCTGCAACAACAGCTTTATTGTTTCGTTTTTGTGCGACGGTGTGGGGGAAAAGCTGCGAGAAATCGTGTTTATTAGTCCTCAAAGGGACGTAAAAGAAGAGGAAGTGTGAGGTCAAATATCTACACCAAGTAGCACTGAGACAGCTGGTGAAGTCATAAAAGGGCACTAGGCACTTTAATCAAGTTTTGAGGAAATTCAAGAAACCGGAGAAAACGTTACCTCTCTAGAACTACAAATTTTTATGTTTGTAAAACCATTAAACCAGGTTAAAGTACCTAAGATGCATAACGTTGTAAATGAGACAAGTAGTAAATGCATATTGAATCAGGAACTCTTTTCGTAGCTTCCTACTCAATCAATCGATAACCGTGTGTATTAAAGATACCTACACTGAATCTCTTACTTTAAATACAGGAGTTCCCCAGGGCACCAACTTTGGTCCTCTTTTATTTAATATTATATGCCAGTTACTTATTCTTTATCATGATGCAGCAATGACTGCTTTTGTTGACGATGTCGAAACGACTTGGGTAGTAATTAACTATTTGTTCAATTGTTTAAATACAAACTTTTATTGTTAACGCTTAAGTTTTCTTCAAGCGCTTCCCGATTTAAAGTCCACGGGAGACTTCAGGATCTATTAAAAATCTATAAAGTAATAAAAGGTCTTTATAGAGTTTATTGTTATACTTCTTAGAATGTTAACGTTGACTTAGTTGTCTTAGTTTATGTTTGAATTGATTTTGCATTTACTGGATAATAATGTAAGAAGCGCAAAGTAAGTTTCAGATTTCATGAAAAAATTGAGTGATTTTAGGGAGATTTTCGGAAGATAACCTAAATATAAAGGTGTATCTGAAGGTAAACAAATGGAAGAGACTTACGCTCTTAAGCTTTTGATTGTATGCTATTAAGTCTAAACTGGGAAAACTCCTCAAAGCTAAGACTCTTTGGACAAAACCCTATACAACATAAATTACAGTAATTTGTCGAAACAAGGCACGAACATCTTTAGGAAACAGCTTTAAGTAGGCGCAGTAACGCGATGAGAAAATAAAATTTTAAGAGAAAACTTTCCCTCCTCGGAAGTAACTTTTAGCACGAAGGGGATTGTGAAACGAACAGGTTTAGTACGAGGGTGGATTGATAAGTTTCCGGCCTGACCAAGAAAAACAAGGTTTTTAAAAATTTTTTTTTTTTATTTCTCAACATAATCTCCTCCAAGGCTGATACATTTCTCATAGCGGTGTTCCAGTCTATTAATGCCATCTCTATAGACTGATTCGTCAAGCTCCTCA